ACACGTGGTCATTACTGGCCGGCTCGGGTCACGCTTACTCCAGGCAGTGGGGACACAGATGGCCAGGACACGTTGGCGGTGTCCGCGTCCAGGTGGAGCGGACGCCTGCTGACGGAGGCAGCCCTCCCACTCTGCAGGGCACAGCGCAGCAGGGGCCGAGCGGGCGCCCAGGGCCTGGGGACGGGAGTCCTGCCGAGGGTGTCCATGGGCCTCTGCTGCCTTCCAGGAGGGCAGCGGGAAGGTCAGGCCCCGCACTGCGCTGGCAGCCATCCCGGGCCTTCCCGGTGTTGGGACGGCGGCTGCCAGGCCTGGTCGCAGCAGAGCCCACGCCTGTCACGCTCTCCACCTTCGCAGACTTCCTCCCGGGGCTGCGGAGGAGGCAGCCGAGGCCAGCACTCGAAGTGCCCGAGGTGGTGGCTCAGGTCACGGGAGAAATGAGAGGTGTGATTTTGGGACACCCACGCTGGGGAGCCAGGTGACATGGCAGCGCGGAGCGTCCTTGTCGGCCTCTGACCTTCTGTGCGAGGCCTGCTGTCCGGGGCCCACGTCCACCTGCCCGGGCTGCGGCCGAGACTGGCCGGCCATCTGGGCCGGGAAGAGAGCCTCTGCCGAGACGGTTCAGATGAAGACAGGTCTGCGGGGGTCAGGAGAGCTTGGACTCCCCAGGGGAGCCCCGGGGGACCGGTGACACTGGGAGCTGTCGCCACCTGCTAAAGGGGCGCTTGGAGGGAAAGGAGGGGCCGTGGGCCAGAGCCAAGTCCTGGAAGAAGGGAGCAGGGCAAGAATGCCCCACCCCCACCGCCTGCCCCTGCTCTTCGTCCCCGTGGTGCCTCCCCTTCGCTAGCCCTAAATAGAAACCAGGGGCCGGGGTGCCCTGGACTGACGGTCCATGGGGTCAGGGAACGGGGGTTGGAGGAGGAGCGGGGAAATCAGCCCCCAGCCATCAGGTGGTAACAGGAAGTGGCCCCAGAGGTCAGGGCACCACGTGATGCCCCCTTAAAGCGCCATTCTGGGTCTCAGGCTTCTGCCATGACCTGGCTGAGGGTTTGGCATGTCCTAGGTGCTCCTTTCCGCCCTGTGAGGTTCCAAGGTCATGGGTGTTGATCTCCTGTCCTTCTCTCCATACATCAGACCCAGGACTGGGTGTATGTCAGGTCTTGTCCTAAGCAAAGGGCGCTTTCGCACTTGTGTGCACCGTCGGGGTGAGACGTGCTCCTGTCCCTGCCGTCTTCCTGGTCTGAGTCGAGGCTGTGAAGGAAGCTGGGCAGGACCTCCAGCCGCAGCCAGGACCAGCCCAAGGGTCACTCCCAGTCAGGAGCCCTGTGGTGGAGGGGACTCCAGCTTGCCCTGTAAGTGTTGAGCAAACACGCTCTGGTAGCAAGGGTAGATGCCTTCCCTCCAGGCTCATGGCTGAGCCGAGGGGACCAGCATGTAAGCAGGTGTGACAGGCAGGTGTGCAAGGCACAGGGAGGATGCCCGGCCAGCCCCAGATACCAGCGGGCCGGCTGGGAGGAGGGTGCCCTTCCAAGGCCAGAGCAGAACTGCGGACGCCCAGAGACAGTGCGTGGAGGCTGAAAGGACAGGAGGAGGGCGGCGACCTGGGCACAGACCCCAGCCGGAGCGCCAGTTTTCCCTCGGGGGGGGAGTAGGGGAAGTGTCCGTCCTCACACATGGGTGGAGGTCATGTGCTCAGAGTCCCGTGGAATGCAGGAAATCCACGAGTCGTGGGGAGAAAAGGCTCTGGGGCTGCAAAGGAGGAAGCCAGGCAGGATTTGGAGAGACAGAAAGGGCCAGAGGCGTGCGGCCGTCTACTCCTGTGTCGGGACAGCGAGCCCTGTGCTGACCACTGAGCCCCTGGAGGTGCACGAGGCCCCTGGGCTTTCTCGGCAGGGTCGCCAGGCCTGGAGCCGAGGTTTAGAGCCTGGGCAGAAGGTGGCGCAGGTCTCGGTGGAGTCGAGCGCAGGGACTGGGGACGAGGATGCGGTGGACCTCAGGCCAGGGGTGGGGCTGCGGCCCTGCACCTCCCCAAAGTCCCTTCTCCTGGCTTCCTCCCCGCCTGGAGTCCTGCAGATGAGTTAGGCTCTTGTCGTGAAGTGCAGGCGCTGGGACCACCCAAGGCCTGAACAGCCGAGAGTTGCAGTGCGTGTTGCCCCCGACAGTCGCAGGCCACCACCTCCCCCCACCGCAGCCATGGGTACTCGGGGCCACCACCCGGTTAAACTCAGACAGGTCACCCTGCAGTCTCTAATGAATCACACACTGTGCTGAAACTTCAAATACAAAAGGGCGGTTGTGTCCTGCCCCCAACAGTGAGGAGGAGGGCAGGCGTCACAACAGTAACCTCGGTGTCAGTGAGACTCAGGTGGCCCTGGGGCTTCGGAGGTGTTGGTTCCCTGCATCCTCCCGTCCTCTCCTGCTGCCGCTCTTGCGTATGAGGAACCTGAGGCCCCAAGAGGCGCGGCAGCTTGCCCGGATCACAGAGCTGTCACGTGGCAGAGCAGGAGTTCGAACTGGTGGCTCAGGTGCAGAGCCCCCGGTCTTACCGGCGGTGCCTCCTTGCCGCTTCAAGTGAAAAGCCCTGACCAAGAAGGAGATGAGGATTCATGAGGGGTTTTATTGCAGGGAGGCCCAGAGGGGGGTTCCAACCGCCCTCCTGCAGAGAGTGAGGACTTCGCCAGGGTTTGCATGGCATAGGAAGGGAGACTGTCTCCCGAAGAGGAAGGGAGAGTCGGAACCGTGGCCGCGTTTGGGGGCTCCTCCCAGGCCCTGCTATTTTATTTGTCTGAGTTCAGGCTTAGCTTCCCCCAGACGCAGCCCCTTGGCCGCCCCCGCCCGACGTGCCCCCAGGACCGAGGCTCCTCAGGGTCCCTGGCTCCAGGATGGAGCGCCTGCCGCGCCAGACTCCCAACCCGCCTCTCCCCCGTCTTCGAACCCCAGCCCCCGGTCCGGCTGTTCTCCTGCCTCGCCAGCTGAGAATGCGTGCGTCGTAAAGCTCTGAATGGGCCGTTTCGGCTCGGAGTCCAGATGCGCTTTTATATCCGCGTGGAACTAAACCGCAGAGGCTCTGCTGGCAGTCGGGAAGAGTTTTTTAAATTAAAGTTGGAGGGGAAGAGGAGAGAAAAGCTTCCCCGCACCTGGCCCCTCTCCGGAAAGCACGGGAGAGCAAAGCTTCTCTGCAGTGTGACCACATGGCTGGTGCAGAAAGACGCGTGCGCCACCCGCCTCCCACTCGTGCTTCGCACACACTCAGCTGTCCCTGGACAGCTGCCGGGTGCCACCACTGGGGCGCAGGGTGGGGCGGGCGGCCGGCCCCAGGTGACTGTTACTACTTCCCCAGGCTGCCATAGCCTAGTCCGCGGGCTGGGCGGCGTCAATCAGCAGGTGCTCGGCCTGCAATTCCAGAGGCCAGAAGTTCAAAACCAAGGTGTCGGCAGGGGTAGTTCCTTCTGAGGGAGAATCTGTTCCGTGCTTCTCTCCTAGCTTCTGGTGACGACAGCCCACGTTCCTCGGTGTATGGAGGTGACACTCCAGTCTCTGTGTCTTTTATGAGGATGCTAGTCACCGGGTTAGAGGCCCACTGTGGTCTAGTGTGTCTCCACCTTAATGTAACTAACTTGTGTCTGCAAAGACCTTGTTTCCCAACAAGCTCATGTTGGGCTAGGGTTTCCATGTGTCTTTTTTGGGGGGACACAGTGTGACCGTTAACAGTCGCACTGCAGTTGAGAGCTAGCGCTGGGTTGGGTTGGTTCCAGCACAGAGCCCTCCTGCTTTCGGCGTGCCAGGAGCAAGAGGGACACACCCCACAGCCCCTGACGGTCTCTAGTGCTGAGGGGCGCCCGGTGCAGGCCCTCCTCAAACCCAGCACCTCCTGGCCTCTCTGCAGAAAGAGAAGCTACAAATGTCCCAAGTCTGCGCCAGTAACACAGTGACAGCGAGAAATAGGATCTATTGAGCACTGACTGCGCCCACGCTCTTCTAGGCACTTTCCACGTTGACTCGTCTTCTGTAGAACCCTCGGGTTGGAGTACCATTGACGTTCCCATTTTATAGATGAGCAGACTGAGGCCTGGGAGAGTCATTCACTCTTCCAGGTCTTGGAGCTAGGGCATGCAGAGTCCAGGCCCTGGCTACAAATCGTGGCAGCGTCTGTAGCAGGGGAGTGTCCCAGGGAGAGTCCTGCCCACTGCCCTGTAGCTTAAGACCAAGCGATGTCCAGCAGGGAGCTCTCCAGTTCCGTGTGACTCATGTGACCTGTCCAGAAGGGCCAGACCACAGGGGCAGGAAGCAGATCGGCGCCCCCTGGGGGAGGGTGAGGAGTCACCGCCAACGAGTTTGGCGGCTCTCTGGGCGGGGGTGATGGCGAAGGAGCTCTAAAACACTGGTGGTTGGTGGCTGTGGGTGCGCAAACGGCCGCCGAGCGGTGCCCTTCAGATGGGCACCTTGAGCGGCGCGGGAGTTGCGCCTCAGTGACGCTGTCAGGAAACGAACACCAGAAGGAGGGGGTTGGGGAGAGCGAAGGCAGCGGGGGGGCAGAGCCTGGGGCAGGACTTGGGCCCCTGGGGCAGAGGCTGGTGGCCCGGGGCCAGTGAGGAAGTTGAGGGCGGCAGACAGACAGGGTGGGTGGACTCGCCGGGGCCTGCGGGTCATCAGGCAGTCAGACGGGGCTCAGCTTTCCCGGGAGGTGCTGCCCTGACAGCTGGGTGGAAGGGCCGGGTCATGGGTCGCCCTCCGGGGCAGGCTGTGCCGTGGGGAAGAAGCTGCTGCCTGGCCCGACCCAACAGCAGGCCCCAGTGGCAGGTATCCTGGCTGCACCACCCCCGCAGCTCCCTCCCTGGGGGCGGAACCCAGGAACTAAGACGTGCCGGGCAGGTGTCACTCGGACTGGAAGCCAGCCTCAGAGTCTGCGGTGCCAGCACGGGTGGATGGGGGGCACAGTGGAGCGGCCAGGGCAAGGTCTTAGCTGACGCGCTGTGCTTTGTCTCTCGTCCCTGCCCCTGCAGAGGGCCTTCAACGCCCTGTGTCACAGCACCCACTTGTACGGCCGGAGGCTAGTCCTGGAGTGGGCCGACTCCGAGGCGACCTTGCAGGCCCTGCGGCGGAAGACGGCCGAGCGCTTCCACGGTAAGAGCAGCGGGGCTGCTGGGGTGAGTCCCACAGGCCTCGGGGCTAGAGCACCCGGAGGCACTTGGGGGGGGGCAGTGGGGGATGCATCAGGAGCCTCCAGGCCCTTTGGGCTTCTGGTCAGTTCATTGGGAGGCCTGGCAGGAAAGGGGAGAGAAGGAGAATGGGCCAGGGAGCCCACTGCCCCGCTCCCTTCCCCCGCGGCCGTGACAGCCAGCTGGCACTCCCACCGGGGGCTCGCACCCTGCGGCCTCTCCAAGTACTGTCTGCCCAGGTTCCACTGGCTGGCCCAGGGGCCACTCACTCCAATTTCCCTGCCCCCCTTTACTAGACCCTCCCTGGCTACCCAATTTAAGGACCACCCGCTTCCCACCAAGGCCCCAATGGTGGCAGCACCTAACTCCTCTTACACACCTCTGCGGTGTCACGTGAGCTCGCCGACTGTTTGGTCCCTCCCCGGAGGCTGGCGGGGAGCACCTGCTCTGCCCTCAGGCTGGGGGTGCGGCCGTGACCTAGTGGGACTGTGGGTCCAGGTGGAGGAGGCTGGGCACGCTGTGCGAGCAGGTGGTGCAGGAAGGCCCCCCACAGAGGTGACATTCGTGCCCAGGCGAGAGCTGCCTGGGCAAAGGGACCCCGGGGTCGGCGTGAGCACGGCATGTGGCAGAGGGGCAGGTGGCGAGGGCTGGGGAGGCTGGCTGTTCGGAGGGGCTCAGTGGCCCCCCGTGGCGTCTCCCTCGGTGCTCCGATGTCACGGGTGGCACGTCGCCGCTGTCCACCTGGGAGTCCCCGCACGACCCGCAGTCGCCCAACCCTCGGTGCTCTCCTGGACGAGCAGCATTGCTCCAGCACCTGCGCTGCTCCCCGCACTGTCCCCATTCCCACCAGGCAGCTGGGGGCTGTCACCTGGGGACAGTCTGGGGGCATTGGCTGCGAAACCCACCTTTGCCCCACTCGTCGGCAGAGGGGGAGCTCGGACCCAGGACCGGATCATTTGCCGTCCCCGCTGGTCACACTTGGCTGCCCAGATCAGGCAGCAGCGTAGTGGCCAGTGTCCAGGGCTGCTCTTGTGAGCAGCCGCATGCTCATCTCTGTCACTGTTCAGTCCCTCTCTGGGCCCCCTGGGCCTGGCCATCAGTCCTAAGTGGAGGGACCAGAATCCAGAGAAATCAGGGCTAAGAACATAGTTGCTGGCTCACAACTCGGTAAGCCCCCATATCCTGCCGTGCAGAGAGAAAACCTGTCCGTATCGACAGCCATGGACAGGCCCAAATGCACCATCGGCAAATGTTTGTGTAAGGGACTCCCCAGGCCCCTGGCACCCACCCCCGGGGCCAGTGAGGAGTGCGGGCTCAGCACTTCGGCCCCGGCACTGGAGAGAAGCCCCTTCGATAGATTGAGCTCCGCAGACATGCTGACTGCCTCCCCACCTCGGGAGCGTTTCCGTGTGATTGGCTCTCCAGACGGGACAGATGCAGTAACGGTGCAACTCGGGCAGCATCTCCCCGTCGAGTCCCCACTCGCCCCGTGAGGTGACAGCCCCGTTTGAGGGGTGAGAGAATTGAGACCCAGCAAGCACTGAAGTGACCCCTGACGGCTGTCATTTGTGAGGGACGTGCTCTGTGGGGGGGCCACCCTCGGGATGTGGCACACGCTGTCTCCTTTTACAAACAGAAACTGAGGCTCAGCGCTGTTGTGCCCAAGGTCACTCGGGTACAAAGGGGCAGAGCCGAGACTGGACCTGACAAACACTAGAGCCGCTCTCCCCTGCCCTTCCCCCCCCCACACACTATTCCAGCCAGTGCCACTGTCAGAGGCCTGGGGCTGCCCCAGCGTCCGCTCTGTGGCTTCCTTCACCGACTCATCCAGACCCTGCACCCAGAACTGCAGGGCTCCTTCCGGAAGTTGAGGGAATGAGTAATAAATTGTGATGGGAAACGTCACATGGCGCCGCACACTGTCAGGGCCTCGTGGAAGCCCTGTGGTGTGCGCAGTACATTGCCCCGCGTCCAGACGAGGAAGCAGAGTCCAGAGGTGGGGCGAGCCCCCGAGGCCAGCCAGGGGGCTGTCGGAGCCACACCAGGTGTCCGGGCTCCTTACGAGCCCCTCCGGAGGCGCACCGCCCTCCCGGCTTCTGGAGGGGCCGGCCCTGAGCGGAAGATGACCCCCCAACCAACCCTGTCCCAGCTGGGACTTGCCCTGAGGGTTGGCAGGAAGCGCCCCTGGTGCAGGGGCTGCTCACAGAGATGTGGGGGCCAGGGGTGAGCAGCGGTGAGGAGCCATCACCCTCCCGCCCCCCGGGGTCCCCCTCCTGGGGAGGGGCTCTCGGTGCTCCCTGTCCTCTGCTCGCCCGCCAGGTCTCCTGTTGGCCTGTTCTACTCCTAAGCCAGAGGGCCAGGACTCTAGTGACACCTTCTGGGGACACAGCAGGACAGAGGACAGATCTGGTGGCAAGCATCAGGGCATGCGGCTGGGGTGGGGGCCGGGTTTTCAGAGGGCAGGGGCAGCAGTGCACGCTGGGACAGGAAGCAGGACGTCCTCGTGGTGCCACATGCCTGGAGGGGTCCCAGCAAGCACAGCCGAGCTCCAGGCTCCAGGCTGGCCTCTCACCTGTGTGGGGCACGAAGAGGTGGCACAAGGTGGCCAGCGAGTTTGGGGGCCGAAGAGCCTGGAAGGAAACTCCTGTTTTTATGGTGCTCTTTTCCAGAGACGTGCACAGCGATCCTTTGAAAATGAAAGAATGTTCCATCCAGAACACAGCAAACTAGAGGACAAGGTTGTTTAAGCTGAGTCCATGAAACCCGTGTTCCTGGGTCCTAGAGCCCTCGGGTGGTCTGGCATCAGAACGGCTGTGAGCCCCAGAAATGCTGTGCGCGTGTGCACAGGCACGCGTGTGTGCCTGTCTGGCAAGAGGATCTCTTGTCATCACATTTTCTATGAGCTCCCGGTCCCCAGCGCTTCGCTTTGGGACAAAGGGCGTTGACGCCAAAGTCAGCAAGCCCTGGCCTCAGCGGCTCCCTGGCTGAGTGTCCGGGGACAGGTCCTCATGCCGTCTGGGCTTCCAGGTCCCTTGCACAGTGAGGGAGGCGCCGGTGCAGTTTCTGCAGTCCTTGAGAAGATGATCAGGGGGACAACGGAAGGGCACGGGCTGCCTTCTTTTTAACCCACACGGCACGGGCAGGAGGTGGACGCTCTCCTTCTCCACGTTTGCCAGACGGGAGGACCCACGCGCACGGAGGTGCAGTAACCTGCCCAGTGCACACAGGCGGTCGGAGCTGGAAGCCGTCTGGCCACCCGGCCCGTGCTCTGTGACTCCTCCATTCAGCCTGCCCAAGTAATCAGGACACGGGAGGGGTGGGGGCAGGCACCCTGGAAATGTCAGCCCCTCTCACCAACCCACCCCATTGGCCGACCTCTGCAGGCAACAGGAGGTGCCTGCGGCAGCCCTGAGTGTTTGTTCCAAGTGAGGCTGCTGGCCCCTGCCCTCCTGGCTGAACCCTGTCCCCTCCCCTGCCCCTTCGCACCCTCCCCTGTGGCAGGAAGTGCTCACTTGTGCCGAAACCTGCACTGCTCAGAGCTCCGGGGCCTGGTAGACACAGGGCAGGCGGGATCCGGCCCGTCCCCACCCTGGCCCTAAGCTCTGCCAGGAAAGTGCTCAGCTCTCAGGTGGAGCCCGGAGCCCCGTCTGCCCAGCCTGAGTGCCAGGCAGCTCCGGGACAGTGGGAGGTGGGAGGCTGGGGTGGAGAGAGGGGTGTGTCGGCCTCAGCCAAAGCTCTCGTGTGGCAGGGACAGTCGGTGCAGTTACCCACGTTTCATCCCTGTGCTTGGGGTCAGCGTCTCCAGCAGACCAGCTGCTCCCTGGTTGCCTGGGAGCTGCCCGGCCCTGGGACCAGCCTCCCGCTCCTCCGTCAGGTCCCTGATGAGCTCCAGTTGCGGGGGAGCAGAAAGCTAACCTGGGGGCACCCAGCTATTAGCGGCTGAGTCGGGAGTCAGACCTGAGCTGTTGGCCATCCTGCCGGACAAGTCGTCCTGTCAGTGGGTGTTGCCAGCCTTGCATTTCATTCTAGCATGTGTCCCCTTACCTGCTCTGTGCCCGGGGCAGGTCACTTGGCCTCAGCTTTGTCATCTGTAAAATGGGACCAGGGTGCCTGCCTCATTAGGGGAATTACAAGCCTCAAAGGAGACGAGGTCTCAGAGCCCCCGGCACGTGGTGAGCATGTCACAGATGCCGTCCACCCTTCCCTCCCCTGCGGGGACTGGTTCTGCTCCCTCGTCCGGGCCACTGGGAGCAGCCCCTGTCTCTCTCGCATGCTAGTTGGCCCAGGCTGTGGAAGGGCACGGTGTGGGCAGAGGACTGAGATGTGTGGGGGAGCCAGGGCGGTTATGAGCCTGGACAGTGTGGAGCGTGCTTCTGTGCGAGTGTGAGTGTGAGGCAGCGGATACAAGTACGCCTAACACTCGGGCTCAGGTGTGTTTGCATCTGATCCCGGATGTCTTCTGGTCCCCCGGGGCTCACGTGCCCAGCCCTGGGTGTGGCCCATAGCAGGCTCTTAGGACGCGGTGGCGGTGACACGGAGCGTTCCCAATGTCTTGCCATTCGGGGCCATTTAGGCAAATAAACGAGCCGGGCGCCCAGTCTGGTGCTCGCAGTTTATCTGGGGTCCCTCACTGCCAGCCAGAAGGAGCTGGTGTGGTTTTAACCGCCCCCCACCAGTACTTCCCACCCCCAGGAGGAAACCGTTATTTCATCCATTGTCCCTGGATGAGGGCAGGGTCCTGTTTTCGATGTGAGTTGATGCCTAAGAAACACCCGTGAAATTGGACACCGAAGAACAGGTCTTTCAGTGTCATTTGAAAAGTGACCCTGACTAGGCAAAGCCCTGGACACTGGACAGAGGTGCTTGTGGAAGAGTAAGACAGCCGTGGTTGCCCAGAACGGTGCTGCCCCGCCCCCCTTCCCAGCCCAGCCTCCGTCTTCCCAACCTCCACCTGGGGGGGGGGGG